AGCCAATGTAGATAATGATACCAAAATGTGGTGGTGGGTAGTTGGTTTGGTAGTGTGGTTTTTTTGTATGTTTGTTTTGCCAAGCTGTTTCGAAAACTGTTGTAAAAGTTTATAGAAAGCTGACATGTGACTTGGTAGTGATATAGGAATGTGTAAAGTTCACAGAAAATCAGGCACTTTCATGCACCATTTAAAAAAACCAAACCCATTATTTTGGTTCAAATACATTTGTCACAATCCCAAGACTTGCCATAAATCTCTCTGTGTCTCTTCTCACATCTTTACAAACTTCAGGTTAAAATGGAGTGAGCAGTACATCTCTTCATTATTTAAGGGAGAAAGCTCTTTTAAGAAAAGCTCTAGTTTTCACAAAGTGAATACTATCTGAATAAAATCAAAACGAAAGTTACGCTTCTAATCAAACACTAGACATATATGCAAATTCACAGTCGGGGTCACATGGACAATCTTAACTTGTTAGAGTGGAGTTTTAATCTTAGTGGGCCAAATGCTGTGAATTCTGAAGTAACTGGTGGTGATGTCTTGCTTCTTACTGTCTCAGAATTTTCTCTGGTATGAAGCTGTGTGCAGCCTTATGAGGCTGCTTGTTTTCTGTCTACATAATACAGTACTTTTAAAAGTACAGGCAGTCCCCGGGTTACGTACAAGATAGGGACTGTAGGTTTGTTCTTAAGTTGAATTTGTATGTAAGTCGGAACTGGTACATATTGTAGGGGAAACTCTAGCCAAACATTTCTCCAGAGCTCAGTTTTATTCTCCCACACCTCACTTCCCTCAGTCCTTTATTCTCAAGCTGAGGTGTCTGCTGAGAAAAGCCACTCCGCGTCTCCCTGGTCTGCTGGGGGGGGAGGAGGGGTGGAGGGCTCTAACTTTGCATCTCCCTGGTCTGCTGGGGGGAAGCAGCTAGTGCGGGGTTGCCTCACCCCGTTTGTAAGTAGGGATCCGATGTAAGTCGGATCCATGTAACCCGGGGACTGCCTGTATTCAGACTCTAATCCTTTTAAATGCTAAGCTTTGCTGATTACCCTGTTTAGGAGCTCTTGTCACAATATAATACCTGTATCGCTTGTTGAATTGCTATTTCACATACATATTAAAAGCATAACCGATATCTTTTGAAGAAGGAGGGTTTGATAAGGATTGTAAAGCGTTTGCAGACTGTAGACCAGTGGTGGGAAACCGGTGGCCTGCAGTCCAGACATACACCAGTCATCAAGTTAAATAACTGGTCAGCCATCAGACAGGTTTTTTTACTGGGTGTCAGTTAGGGATGTATGCATATCAGGTAGTCAAGTAGTGGCTTGACTAGGCACTCCCCTCCCCTGCCTTGCTGCCTATCAGGCAGTAGGGGGAGCAGAAGCCTGCTTAAAAGCACAATCTCTAGAGGCAGGGGAGGCAGATGTATAGCAGGGGATCATCATAATTGTCCATTTTGGCCTTAACTATTATTCCATGAACTAAGAATAAAAAAATGGCCATTCCGAGTCAGACCAACGGTCCATGAAGCTTACTGTTATGTCTTCCAACAATGGCCAATGCCAGGTACTTCAAAGAGAATTACAGAACAAGGCAACTATCAAGCAATCCAGCCCATTTGTCCTCTCTCAGCTTCTGGCAGTCAGAGGCTAGGGATAGACCATGTGGTTCCATCAATGACCATCTTGGCTAACAAGATGGTGGGTCCAAATTTTATTAAACTTTGTGGGGATTTGCAGGTAGGTGAGCTGTCCTCTCTAAATATCACAAACTAATGTAACAGATAGCCATGAGCTAGGAAACCCCCTTATGTACTTCCTGCAACCCTCCACAAAATACTACAAAATTTGGACCTGCCAGCTTGGCAGCGTATAACTGTTTTTAGAAGTGTGGAAACAAACTAAAATATGTAAAACAATGGCAAAAACTAAAGCTTTAAAATAACTAAAATAAACAAGTCATAGAATTTCATCAAGTGATTTAAGTTTGACTTCTGATGGAGCAATAGCATGTTTTATCCTATCTGTAAAGATAGTTCTTTGTCTCTACATAAATTGTTCAAATGCTTAATTACCTTTTATGGTTCACTTCAGAAAGTTGTCCACATAAGATAGTGTTGTACCAATGACAAAAAATAGGAGATACAATTGGAGAGTAGGGACATATTTGAAAAGCAAGGGTCATATTCCTGTTTGGCCCTGTTGTGTCATATCTTCTACCTGAACTGGCATTGCTTAAGATGAAACTTCTGGTCTTGAATAACAGGAAGAACTGTATCTGCTCCAGGGTACCTTTTCGCCAATCCTTTTGGCTTTCTTCCTTTCATCTCTGTCGCCACTCTATTTTCTGCCCCTTACCAATACTGCTAAAAGCGCTCCCTTCCATCAGAAGTTCTACCTGCCAGAACTAACATCAGATATTATAAACATAAAGGCAAGTCCACATAAACAAGGGGTCTATAAAGACCCCCATACTACTCACAGCTTAGCATTCCCTTCCAACAATAGTATATCCTTCCACTGATCCACCTTGCATATCTTCTCAGGGTATTCAGTCACAGGATCTAGGAGCCTTCAAGATAAATAAGAGCATGAAGTAGCGGTCCTCTCAAGGAACAGGAAATGCTGAAAGGCATTTTTTTTTCCTGTGCCTGTGAAGGTATCGGGTATTATTTGCTCCCTTCCTCCATATGCCAGGAAAGAAGAGCTGAGATGAGGATATGCCCAAGAGAAGACCATTGGAGATTTTTTTCTCCTCACCACATGGAACAAAAGGGAAGCTGGACCAGTGGTTACTGGCAGGCCCATCACTCTTTTGACAGCATCTAGTAATATTGCAAACAGTTCCCCAGTAGCACAGTGTGTCAGGCTGTTGATCTGGGAGAAAGAAATTGGGATTGCAGGCCCACGACAAATATGATGGTCATAAATCAAAGCTTTCAGCCTCCCATGTGGTCTTGGAGCATGGAATTGCCTGGTTTAGAGAGAGAATGTTGGACATATTACTGGAGTTTCTCTATTTGTCTTTTTTGAAAAATGCTGCTATATTTTTAATTTTTACCTGGACAGTTACCAGAGACATTCAGAAAAACAAGTGGTCCTGTAGCACCTTAGATATTTATATGGGTGTGTATATATAGTGGGTTTTTCCCACAAAAGATCATGATAACAAATATTATGTATATTAGTAGTTTCAAAAGTGCTTTAGGTCTACTCATTGGGTCTTTTTTTAAATGTTAGACTAACACGGCTACCCGCCTTGAGACTCAGACTTTCAGAAAAGCACTGCTCTGATATTGAACTTAAATGTCAACACTGGGTATGAGTTCATATGAATCCATGTCTTGAAAGGCCAGGAAAAACCAAAACCCTAAAAACTATGGAGTAAGTCATTACTGATAACTATCACTACTATATGTGTAGACCTATAACAGTGATTACTGGCAATATACCAGAGTGCTAGCAAATTTAAAATATGCTAAAAATACAAATAGGCTACAATGCTAGTCACTTCCATGTTGACCATTGGTGGGGTGTCTTCTACAGAAAAGTTTGTCACTGACAAAGTTATTGTATAAATTGTGGTGAAAATTATATTGGAGTGTAGCACATCTTGTTTTAATAGACTATACTTCCACTAACAAAGTCCTATCTCACATACTCTTATGTCCCCTACCATTCTGAGTACCTCTCAGTCTTTAAAGTACTTGTATCACAGCACAGCTGTGGGATGGTATTATCACCCTTTTACAGATGGGGGAACTGAGACACAGCAAGGCAGATTAGGGACTTCGCCTATAATCCGTGGTAGAGCGGGAAGTGAACCATGGTCTTACTTTCTAGGCTGCTGCCATGCCCATTAGGTCAATCTGTCGTCTTGGCCAGTATGTTTTATGCAGTTGTGTTTATAATTCAAGGATTTAGCCATTTTACTTGTTTGATTTAACACAGAATATTTATAATTAAATGATCCAAACAGCATTTAAGAATGGCCGTACTGGGTCAGACCAAAAGTCCATCTACCCCAGTATCCTGTCTGCCGACAGTGGTCAATACCAAATGTCCCAGAAGGAGGGAACACAACAGGTAATCCTCACAAGATCCCTCCCCTGTCACCCGTTTCCAGACAAACAGAGTCTTGGGGACACCATTCCTACCCATCCTGGATAATATTTATATTATATTTGCTCCACTCTGTTGGACCTTTGACAGAAGCAACCTGCAAAAAATAAATTCCAACCATTCCACAAGCTGCAAGTGCTCCACACTAAGTGAAATTTTGCTCTTTGTTTGTTGATCAACAAAAATCACTCTGGTGTGAAAGAGCTAAATGCTTAAATGCCATGCTTGTCCTAAGTGGTCATCTCTGAGAGATTTTTTTTAACAGCTCATTTTTCATTGAATTAAAAAAAGTTGTACAGTGACCAGTATTACAGAAGATGGTGAAAAATAATTCCATGACACTACCTTGTCTTGTATGAGTCATTAGTCATGACTCATGATCAGCAGTCAGTGATGTCCAATTTGTTTTCTAATCTTTCATTCACTGATGCTCTTTATTGCCATAGTAATAATAGTAATAAAACAGACTGTTAATGCATACAGCCACATAGAATTTAAACTGATGGTTTTTTCCTGAAATTTCCATATTTTGAGTCTATTTTGCTCTTCACTTGCCAAATTTAAGAAATATGAAAAGTGACCATACAAGAATTTTATAGCAAGTTAAGCTAATAAAAAGAAACCTTCTTTTTATTTTTATTTTATTTATTTATTTTTGCATTTTGCTTTGGAGCCAGTCACTGCCTGCACTCACAATTCAATGTATGTCTTTTGTGGTGACTGAAACTGAGGGACAAATAGTACTGCTTTAAATCAAACAAAATAAAGGAAAGCACAATGTAAGCTATCCCACACAGCTCTAACACACCTCAA